ATCAGATTCAATGAAAAGCTCTAAAGCATCAATAATAAACTGCAAACACATTTTTTGACATAATAAACTGCCAACATATTTTTTGACACTTTGTTCCCATTGCCAAAAAAAATACACATGTAACTAAATGGCAATGATCCAAGATGTATCTTACATAGGAGAACAAAAGGTAGTAGTTAAAAAGCCAATAACAGATTTTGGTGGATACTTTAGTGTACATATCAGAATCAATCAATGCAGTTTTTTTATATATAGATGTTAAATGATCAAAGTATGTGTCCATCTTTATCCTTTTCTGGTAAAAAACATATTTTCCTCTGTTTTTACATATTCCTGCTAGTTGGGAATAAAGGCCTAATTGTTGTTGTAAGTTATCAGCTCTTATTTCATATTGAAACATGCATGGAGAAACGTCAAATAACAACATCACAGTCAAAATGTGTATATTGAGTACCTGATGTCAATGCTCCCCAACCACAAAATAAAACATGATAAATTATATGAAACGACATCACAGTCTAAAGAAAAAAAGGAGGTCTCGTGTTAACTTACATAATCAGCCATGTGTCGTGCGAAGCTCTTTGTGCCACCAGTGTGATTCATTTTTTGCCTCTTGCGGCTTTCAATATTCTTCTCACATCTAACCTGAGGCGCACAACATAATAAGAAATCTAGCCTAATTTGAAATCATAAGTTTATATTATGGATGTAGTACTTACTTTATTTTTTGGATCAGTGTCCCAATAGTTAACCATTGCCTGCCATTGATCGCGATCTACACGATCATCTCCAAACAAGAATCGTTCTGGCAAACCAACATAGGGAGTGTAATACTTAGCTTTTAAACTTCCCTTATAGTTTCTGCACCTATCAGACAATCTTTGCAACATTACAAGTCGGATTTTAGGAATATTGGGAACATCTTCAGGCCGCCAATCTATGGTATCCTGCACTCATACAAGTGTTATACCATTTACAAGTGTTATAATATATGTTTCAATACATATTAAAGCTGAAAGTGTTCAAGAACATCATACATATATTGTTTTCCACACATGATCCATGGTAGTATCATCATGCAACCGCCAATCTATAGGCTTGAGGGGAAGAAACCTTGAATTTTTTGCTAGGCTACCTAAGTACCTAGACAGCTGGGCATCCTTAGGGTCAACGCACAATCCATCCTCTGTGAATGCAATAGACTCCTTGCCAGATTTTCCCCACTTTGGCTTGTCATAACCACGCCCTCTTTTCTTTTGCGTTTGACCTGCATACACTAAAGTTAATAACCATATAAAATAGATAAATAAATATTAAAACCAGGGTTTTGGTCGATATGTTGAGAATTTAGCAAATTTCTCATTCGAGGCATCCGAAACGATTCTTCACCTTTCCAACACCTTGTATACGTGAAATGGGGTATGAGTGTATATAACTGGACTTGAATTCGTAGTGTACGTTCATGTGCACAAACATAAAATTGGGGGGGCTTTACCCTTTTTCTAATTCCTGCGCAGCAGTAGCAGCTCAAAGAGATGTCTGCAACAGCAGCAGCAGCAGCTCAAAGAGCTGCTGCTGTTGTAGACAGCTCTCTGAGCTGCTGTCTGCAGTAGTAGCAGTAGCTCAGGGAGTTGCTGTTTGGTCATTTTTATCGTGGCGTCGACTTTTATTTTGGCGTAATATCACATATTATCTTTATAATGGTGATTTCATAGGGAACATAATTACTATCAAAGAGATTAGGTGCACACAATAATAAAAAGGGGAGTGTTTGTCAGTATTAAATCATGCTGGAAAATTGACATTACCATATATGAACACACTATATCCTCGTCTAGTAATCAGAAATCAATATTTACTAATTCTCATAACCACGCCCTCTTTTCTTTTGCATTTGACATGCATACACTAAAGTTAATAACCATATAAAATAGATAAATGAATATTAAAACCCGAGTTTTGGTCGATATGTCGACAATTTAGCAAATTTCTCGTTCGAGGCATTCGAAACGAGAAATGGGGTATGAGTGTATATAATTGGACTTGAATTCGTAGTGTACGTTCATGTGCACAAACATAAAATAGGGGGGTTTTACCCTTTTTCTAATTACTGCACAGCAGCAGCAGCCCAAAGAGCTGTCTGCAACAGCAGCAGCTCTTTTGAGCTGTTGCTGTTGTAGACAGCTCTCTGAGCTGCTGTCTGCAGCAGCAGCTCAAAAGAGCTGGTGCTGTTGCAGACAGCTGTATGGTGTAAATTTGATTTCCCGAAAACAGGGAGTTTTGTTTGGATTAATAAGAAAGCTTATTACAAACTAATAATCAAATGGTTACAACAGAAGCAGAGGGAATGCCCTCTTTGTTTTGTATGGGGACTTTAGGTGGCTATAGGACGCTTCGCTCGATGCTCGTGTCGAGTTTGCTTCCCTTGGACCGTTCGATCGGGGTTGCTGGAGAGCTTCAGGTCGCAGTAGAAGCTCGAATCGATGGAGTTCGGGTCTGCTTAGTTCGCCGGCGATCGGAGCTCAGAACTAGGCAGTGGTGCTGTAATGCAAGGATCTGCTAACAGCTTGGTCTCAATTACTTTTCTCCAAGTTTTTTGCGACCTCTCTTCCAGTGCACTGGAAGGGGCTTTTAAATGGAAGAAGGACAGCTTGACTACTCCTTGAATTATGAGATGTGACCATACATTGTTCAGAGACGTCCCGCTGTTCCTTCGTACCATCAGCGGTCATTCGAAGAGTTGTGCTCTGTATCACGTTTCGTAAGAGTGGGAAAGCCCCTTCTCGTATGCGTGAAAAAAGGCTGTCAGATGCTTGCGTGGATCTGACCAACTACCGAGCGCCGGCGGCTC